TCATAGTTATTTACTAAGTAGTATGTTATAAGGAATGCTGAGCGAACATAACAAAATGAGTATGGCTGGAGTAACACTATACGAAAAAAACTGCGGCCGCTAAATATATAAAAAGCAGGTAGGACCGGCCTCTACGTGGTACTGTATAACGGATTTCATGAAGGGGTAAGCAGACGGGTCAGGAAGGACTGACCTGTATGTGGTATTGAGTAAAAGGCTGGAAACGGGTGTCACCAAGTTAAAATTCATATGCCGGATGAGACCATGCATGTCAAAGTGGCGAATATAAAACCAGTCTTGAGGAAATAGGAACTCAGATACGATCGGTTACATCCAGCCGAGGAGGGAGCGAGGGAGATGCGACCAGACTACTAGTATATGGCGAATACAGAGGGTTCCGCCAAGAGCGCCGATAGAGAGCATTCTGTGAGGGGCACGATGCATGGACTGAAAATCGAAAAAATTAGCATTTCTGATGAAGGATCCTAGGAAGCGATACTACACACAAAAGAAGGAAATGTGAGCGGATACGGAAAGTTAATGGTGGCGTCCTAAATTCCCCGTGGCCCTTTCTTGGTTTCATAGAGAAATTTGTCCGAGAACGATGAGAAAAATAAAAGTTTAATCGAGTCGGCATTCAGACATAGGCGCAAACTTCTCTTAAAAGTGTGTGAATTATCTGAAGGTCTTATATTTATTGGAAAGTTATTCCAGAGGAATGTATATCTGAAAGCGGAAAATTAGAGAACGCTTATAGGTGGAGGAAGCTGGAGGAGATATAATCAAGGACGAGTTGCGAAGATTGTATGGGCGACTACTAGGGGTGAGGGCTGAAATCCGAGGATGATTTGAACTATTATTAATGCGGAAGAGGAGACAGACGCCTGCTTCTAGTCTTAGAACCCATAAAAAATTTAGATAAATTAGCTGGCATCTATCTGAGTAGGAGATATTTGGATGTTCCCTATCTAAAAGTTTTCTAGAAAAACGTCTTTGGACATTTTCAACTTTTAAACGACTAGCCTCATTCATCAAACCAAAGAAGTAGCAACAATATTCGAGAATGGGAAGTACAAACGTACGAGAGAGTCTTGATTTACTTTCGGGAAGATAGAAATGGTAAGAAATAAAGCCACAAATCTGGGTAGTTTTGACTGTAATTCTGTCAGCGTATGGCGAGAGATCAAGATTATTTGTGTAGCTTAAAACGAAATCCTTGATGGTGGTACATTCAGTCATAGGTGTGCCTTGAACGACCACGGTCTGAGGTAGCCTTTGAGATCCAAAACAAAAAATGCGGTATTTGGACGAAGAGAATGCCATTTGCCATTTTGAGCTGCACACTGGAAGAGCAAGCAAGTCAGCGTGGATTTGCTGCATGCAATGAAGGTTCGCAGATTTATTGGAAGAATATACACATTTGAGATCATCGGCGTAAATGAATGATTAAGAATGTTTAACTGCCGCCGATATATCATTTATGTAAAGTACAAACAAAAGAGGACTGGAAACGGTGCCTTCTAGGACACAACGTACAGTAGGGCTTTCACTGGAAAGTGAAGGTCCCACCAAAACCTTTTCTTTACGATTAGACTGGTATGACTTGATAAAGTCTTTTAGTGGACTGCGAATTCATAGAGCTTCTAATGTAACGAAGAGTCTTTTATGTGGCAATTTATCAAAGGCTTTACTAAGATCCAAATAAATAACGACAGCAGATAGATGGTCACTACGAAGAGAAGTAAGTAGATTGAGAAGCGACAAATGTCATGTTTCACAAGAGCGATCTGATAAAAGCCATGCTGGGAAGGGCTAATAACTTAATTGGCTATGCAAAAGTCGGTAATTTTTAAGGCGATCCTTTTTTCAAAGATCTTGGCGAGAGAAGGTGTTTTATGGACACCTCGCTAGTCCTGAACGTCAGAACGACAGCCAGACTTAAATACTGGAATAATAATAGAAGTTTTCCAATAGTCAGGGAAGAAGCCATTTACGAGAAATACTAAAAAGATTTTGCTAAGCAGAGGAGGAAAATCTCTTAGCTGTTATATAAGAGAGTTTGGGATATTGTCCGTACCTACTGAGTGAGAGTTAGGAAGATGGTTTATCAGTTTTTGAATAGCTTCAGAAGAAAAATTCATGATGCTAAGATGGGCATCAGAAAACGGAGGAATTAAAGGGATTGGGTCAGTTTCAATGGTGGAATGTTTGGCAAAGAACGAATTTAACATTTCCGCTTCGCCTGACTCCTCTGTAATGAAGGTATCGTTGGTACTAAGCAAGGTTAGAATGACTTGGTGGGATTTAGCATCTACGGCACTCTCTTCTCCACCTCCACCTGGATTTGGTGTCATGACAGATTTAAGAAGACCGTGGGCGTGTGAGGGCACAGGTCATTGGCACGGTAAAGACCCCCCAGTTAGACGTACCACTACACCCCCTAGTTTACATTGACACCGACGGGGAATTTATACACCAGGATATACCTGGCCGGCTCGAATGCCAAGCGGCGCGGCGTGAACGTCCAACTGAGTTTGGCATTACAGAGGTGTTGACGTTTTATGTGGGTGAGCTTTCCCGATAATTCCTTCTGGACACCGATCTAGGCCCTGTCTTGTTAAAACACATATAACTCTTGGTCCGCTTATATATATCGGATGAAATAAAACATTAATAATATCAATAATAATTAAAAAGATGACGATGATAGTAATAATTTTATTTAATACCAGTTTACAGGCATTGTCAGGGAAGCGTTAAACACAAATCCGGCCAGCGGCGAAAAATAATTCCTATCAAAAAGTAACAAAAACAGAGTTGATGAAGATTTTTCATAGTTTGGAGAGTTCAGGAGAAAAAAATACCGCTCATGAAATGTAGACATTCAAGATAAGGATGGGTAGCATTGTAGCGGAAAGTGTCAGTCGTCAATTTATTTCATGAAGTTGGGGCTGGTCCGAACAGGTGCACCGAAGAACGGCTGCCGCCGTTGTTTAATCAAATTGTCCCTGGTGAGATCGGCCCTTAAGGTCAGAGGCCACAAACGCCATAGTTACGGTACATTCGATCGATGGATTCAGCGCCAAAATTTGTGGGTGATTTTCTGTATGCAAAAAGCGAGTAATAGTTTCCGAGAACAGAGAGTAATTTTGCAGAGTTTTCAAATTCCTGTGTAGTTTATTCCAAATAGCAATTGCATTTACAAAAAAGAATCGACGATATTTAACAGTACATCCCAGAGGAAGAAATAGAAAGACATCACGGTGACTGTTACGTCGGCAGTGGTCAAGATGTCTGAAAGTAGTGAGTGAGTTAAAGGCACGATTACATAAAAGCCTAAATAGCAAAAATAGGCCCTTTTATAATCTACGAAACCATAAACGATCAAGGCCTGTAAACCGGCAACAATCGTGGTACGAAAAATGTCGGTGTTCCAGAGCTAAAACTCTCCAACGTTCATGTTATACTGGCGCATTCGAATATCACTGGTTGCAAAGTTTCGAAGGATAAACCCGGTCGTTCGACGCGCTTTGGGGACTATGAGGGCGCAGTCCTTCGAAAGATTGAGACTCTTGGAGTATGATACATCCAGATCCTTAATAACCAGATGCATATTTAAGGCGTGACCGTCAATACTTGCTTGAGGCTCTCGATCGTCGCCAACCACCATGATTGAGCATTTATGCCAAGAAAGATTAGGGCGCCATGTGCGGCACCACTGGACGAAGGCGTGTAGTTTGCTCTTTATGAGTTCAAGCACGATGTCACGATCTGCCTGCTTATACCTGTATGCAACTTTCAGATCATCGGCATGTATGAAGGGCTTACTATTCTGAAATAAATCTGGTACATAGTTAACAAAAAGGCAGAATAACTAATAGCTTTAAATCATCCGTTCAAGTAGTATTAAAGTTTAGTGGGATTACAACCAGTGAAGGGATTCTCACGCTGTATTCACAACGAATGTTTCCCATGGGATCTGTCACTTCTAGTTACGCATATTTTAAAGTTGATACTTGCGGAGGTTCATTGAATTTGTCGTAGCCGTCTATAACTTAGCGGAAATAATCGAGATTGGACAGCTGCGTTTCATACGGTGTCCCATTCCCTTCACCGGTTTGGTTGCAGGAATTGAGGCGATTTCGAGAAGGCTACGGTCTTTAGTGATCCAGGCTCTCCAAGCGTGAGAATGGAATACAGTTGGAGCTCGCGCAAACGTCTCAACGATTTTGACGAAGCAGTCTTTAAACAACCTCGTCATAGCGCGTGTGACAAGGCACAGGGTGAATATCGCGTATTAAGTTGCCTATGCCTAATGCAGGGATAGTTCATGAGAAGTCGTGAGGCACTCGACCAGTTCTTCTGGGCATCCACTTCTTTTGGTAATGTGCAATTCTGCTGGAAATGTCGGTGATTTGAACGACTGGTTCTGCTGACCCCATCGCAGTGGGCAGCAGTAAGCTGTGGTCTCACCATTGCTCAGGCCATTTTGAATTTCTCCGGAAGCGGTCTTCGTTGACATCGGCTAGATAACGTGCCTAAAGTTAGATGGACAGCAAACATGACGACATTGTTATTTTGTATACTGGCGCAGCCATTAACGTACACAATGAAGAGTGCTGATAATGAGCTAAATTCGTGTGAAGACAAACTGCCCATTAGTAGTTATTTCGGTCTTAAGACAGTTCGAAAAACGCATTTTGTGCCGATTATCTCCTTTTCCCTTACACTTAACTCGCACTCACATAATTTGTCCGTGGTCTTGAGGTTCCATTTGGAATTACGGTCCATCAGAGTACTTTTACGTTATTGTGGACGAATTTTTCGGGTGACCGCAGAAGCAATACACATATGGAAGGGCTGCTTATTATCTACACACCGCTTCAAACACTGCCAAAAGTTAGCGTTTTACGTGACCATTTGAGGTTTGACCTTGAAATGGGGTTATTCACATTCTTGCCGACTTTTCAAATAAACCGTTTCTTACGAGTTCTGTAACCATGAGTGAGCAAGGTCGGTGAGCTGTTTAGACGCACATTAATAGTCCACGAAAATATTGATCGTTTTGACCTCAGATTATGTCGTTCGGCACGGTTTTAAGTGTAACTTCCAGAAAATATCATTTAACGAACTCACGCCAGTTATTTTGATAAAATCATTAAAAAACCATGAAGTACTTCATGGCTTCCTATGATGTCACGTGACGTCATAGGAAGCGAAATACAAAATTTAACATAATCAGTTTATGTGAGGTGTACTCCGGTTGGGAAGGTTGTGTGTACTGCATGAAAGGAATTTACAAACTGACCTACTTCGAAATTGAATAGGACCCGACTTATCTATTTTTAATGATAGACAATTCAGTAGAAAACTCGGTTTCACACAGTTGTGTGAAACTGAGCTCTGGTCCACGGAAGAGAACTTGAATTCCAGGAGTAATTAATAAACTCATGTGATTTGAATTTTTTACATTACTTGAATAGAAATCGCGAGAGCAGTTTTTGTTGCAATAAACTTGTATTTATACATGAGGTCTAGACCCTGCAAGCACCTGGCACCGTTATAGGTTCGGCTGAGAGAGGGCTGGGTGGCCGGAGCTCTGGCTTATTTGAAGCACTTTGAAGCGTGTTTGCGTCGACAGTTATGTCTCCCAATTTATCAAAAGCAGCTTGTAAATAAGGGAAAAAAGATCTTATTCGAATAAGATCAAAAGTCGAATAATACTGTTTAGCGTTCAAAATAGAAGGCTTAATAAACCAGACTGCAAAGCGATATTCGCCCATAACATGATATATTTAGCCGCAGTAGTCTCTCAGAAGGCTTCGCGCCCATGCAGGATGAGTCGACTTTAACTTGAAATCGACCCACTTTTTCAAGTGCGTTTACTTGACAACGATCACTACGTACAACTTGCTAATTACCAACTACCTGACTTTCAATGTGAATTTTATAAAAATATTTTTTACTTTTAAAACCCTCTGGACTTGCTGATGCCCTGTTTTTTTCGCTTCAGCTGAGTTGTTTCTGTAAAAAACTACCTCTTCTTAGAAGATAATCAAATTAAACGCATTTTCAAACGTGCCAATATCCGTTTCTTATGCATTAACTCTTTGCCTGCACAACGCCGGCATCTTTATCTGATGCTGTAGATATTTCATTATGTTTGCCAAAACCAACATCCTTAATTCTATGTCTTCCAAGTTTGCAGAACATTTCCTCCGGTGCCCATTCTGTTGGGCGTGTAGGATAAGTTTACTTGAAAATCATCAGTTCTTAATAATGTAGGTCAGTTGGGGATCTAACTTAAGAAACCGGGTAAAATTATTATTAACCTTTGTTATGTCTTTCGGATACAAATACGTTTACGATAATAACACGAAGTTCTACTTAAGTGCAAACTAGTTCAACCGTATTTTTTCGTTTACGCAACTAACTAGACTAGCAAAAATCCCCAACGATTGGTCCGTTTGTAACATAAATTTAAATAAACGCACGCTGATATCAGTTACAGCTTCAGTTCGACACTAGGAAGAACTTTTAACGAAAACAGTTACAGTGTGATTTTGCAGGAGTTCCTAAAGGTCTGATCTTATGAACTTTAAATGCCGGGTCCGGCGCATAGGTAAACATGGCGAAATCGCTAATCAAAAGATCTTTCTTTTTTCTGTTTTAGTAAATGTCATGTAGAAAACCAGTTTAACCGTTCGAACGCTCTAGAAATATATTATCATTCTCTAAACATATTCAGATACCAGTCAAAAATAGGATTATCAGGGGTCAAATAAGACTGTGTAATATCATGCTGGCTCCCTTCTGCACCCAATGCTGGCCCTTTAAATCAGTCTCGAACGCAACTATTCAATTGGGGCTGGTGCAAACAAGCCAACTCTATTTTAATGCTCCTCATATTTTTAGAAGCAGGCCTGCAGAATCTTACCATGTCTGTGGTTTTTGTGATTGAAACTTAGACTCACCAGTGGTAGTTGATGGCAATTTCACCCTCAGAAAAGACCCTTAAAAGGGCCCTTTGGAGTTGTGATTTCTTAACTGACTCTCATTTAACTTTCCCAACTTGATCTCCCGGATATGGAGCCTAATCATTCCCAAAACCAGCGACCAGATCCTCTTCGTACTTACCGAATTTAAACAAGTAATGTACATTTCCGGTAATGTATAGTTAATAAGCGAAGATTGCTGGGAGTTCTATGCTTATTTTACCAAATCGTCAACTTCACTCATGAAGACGACATTTCTGACCACGGACTGCAGAATTTCATTCATGAATACCAGAATGCTATCACACAAACCTGTCTATATGCGACCTACATTTGGTGTTATTGGCGATTGAAGTGAAGGTATTCGTCAGTGCTCAGTACATTGTATATGAGAAGCCTCTGTTATTGCCCTTCAGCGGAGTTCAGTTGTTTATATATTAGATATATAAACAAAGTACGAAGTCCCATCTCGCGGAGCTTAATGTCCGTGTGGCCCCGTAGGCACAGGCGAAACAACCAGAGAATAACAATATGACTGCGTCAAATCGACGTTAAACATGTACAGACTTCCCGTCTTGACATCCAACGCGTAAGCACACTCCTATCCCCTAGGCAGTTTTTCAAGTGAAAAGGCTGATAGTTGAGGCAAGACAAGCCAATATACGGCCGCTGTCCTTAATGTGATTGGGGTCTTATAGCTGCACACTACACTAGGTACCCTTGACCTCCTTACCGTATCATAAGAAACCGCCTAAATTAATATGCAGGAAGGTCTTATTGGACCACAACAATGGACAGCCTACTAGGATCTGCCATTGCAATTATTACAAATCCGTCTCTCAACCCTAGCCGATCATCTATTATGCAATTAGTACTTCTGCCCGACTACTCTCATCTAAGTAATGTTAACAGGCTGTCTATAACGTTCGAAAATAAGACTTTTGAACGCTATACGCTACGTTTTTTGACCTTAAGCGTTTGCCATGTCTTCATGTCTCCTACTTAGCATAGGAGTTTCAGAAAAGGTCTCAAATGAGGCAGTTGAAATTTCTCCCTCCCACGCTGCAGCAGACGCAAAAAGCCTACTAGATTGATGGCGTAGATGGTGTGTGAATTTCTAAAGATTTAGTGGGGCCAAAAAGTTATATAAGTCATACCTGAGCATACGTATTACTCAGACGTGCTTTAACATCGTAGTTACCTTCGGGTGGCGTATCGAACCCCGCATGCGAGTCAATTTGCAATATCTTTATTCTTTTTGGAGCGCAAGCCCGCCCAAGCCAATATTGGTCGGCAAAGAGGTGGAAAGAGTCTTCCCTATTTTCTACATTTCAGTGTCATCTTGGCTCTTTTAAATCAGCAAGAATTACTTGCAACGGATTCGTCGTCCTTCCAGATTTTCTATCTTCACATCTCAGTATTCTATCTCCCAGCTTCCACATTTTATTTTTGTTTCACATGTCAGCACTCATGTCGCATCTTGGCTGAGTGTTCTTCCTCCTCTGATTAGCATACCTTCGCAAGCCCCAGCTTAAGACAGTAAAATATGCGGGAGACTTTGGTTCCAGGATAAATCTCGCGCTTTACCTCTATCTATTTTAATGACCGAGGCCTGCGTAGATCCCATTCACACGCACAATTTTTAAGGTTCTCTGTACGATAGTTAGTTTTAATGTGTTGCTCATTGGAAAAATCCGCTTAACTTTTCTTGTTTGAACTTAACGTTTTGCGGTATTCTTGGTACTCTGCCGCTTTGGTGAGCGGTGTCTTATTTTTGTTTTTTGATGACGATTCCCAAGCCTCGTCTAATTTTCCTCAAGCTCAGAAACATCTGCGTCTATGCGCCTATCGGCAGAGTAGTGGGCGATTCCTGCACCACGAAGCTCTCTTTGTCAATCACCGTATTTTAATTACCTAAATTAATCAAGTAATTAAATAAATTAATTAAATCTGCACAGGTTCCTTACCAAATAGGGCTAGCCAATTGGTGTTATAGGTATAGAAATGGGAGTGTTTTGTCTGACCCACTTCTGGCAGATGTAAATTACTCTGCTCACTTGCTTGAGCCCACAAGGTTGTCAGAGAATTTTCATATGAATTTTCTTTGGAAAAGCCGCATAGTCTAGGGTTTGTACTGACCCAATTATTGACTACGTCATCATGTTCGATAAGAACGGTTAACGCGCATCCAGCTCAGCCCTGAGAAAGCGAGCTTTTGATTGGTGGCCTCGAGGGTAGTTTGTCATAGCACATTTTTTACTACAGGCAAAGCAGTATGTGAAAACTGGGCTGGATAACTTTCTAAGTGTGCCGCAATCTTAACAGCATTACGATTGTCTCCTCAAACTGAAGCCAACTTTTAGAATTAAAATTTTGCGAGAATGAACCGCGACTTCCACTTCTAACTTGTTAGTCGTCATTAGCATGCCATACCCACACCCACGCTTGTAACACCTCGGATTCTAACCCGTGAGCTTCGGCTACTGAGTCAAACGCCTTGTCGCTTGAGTCAGGGGCTCTTTGCCCTGTTGGTCGCAATCGCGACTGCTGCTTATGTCGGAAGTGCGCTCACCGATTGGGCTACAGACCAGCTCGTTCCCTTATGATTTTTGGTCTGGCCTAGAGCCTTGTAGGGAGTCACGCAGCGAGTGGAAGTACGAACGGAATTACCTTACCGGCATAGACGGGGGAGACTAAACTGGTCGGTAGGATGTGCTTATGTAGCCCCACCTGATGGACACAATACTGCCGGGGTTAGGGGCAGGAATTAGGGTTAGAGTTAGGGGTTTGGGGTTGGGGTTAGGGACTAGGGCAGCTATTTCTAAACCGCTCAAAGTACAACCGTGCATTCCAAATAGTTTTCTTCTAAATAAAACTACTTGACCTCGTCGCCTGTGCGTTCCCGGCTCCACCTGTAAAAACCATATTACCACCGGTCCTGTATTACAGGTGACTGGAGTTTTTATTACTTAGGATGGGGCTACATAACCACATCTAACTGACTGGTATTTTCTGGCTTATTAGCCGTCGTCAGCCAGCCACACCCAACCCAGAATTTGGAACACACGGGATTCGAACCGGGTTTTGTATCCCGCCCTAGTTGGACCACTGCGCGCTTTTTTTACAGCAGCCTAGGTGCCCATTTCGTTAATAGAAGTGCACAATCTTCCAGGCATCGGTAATTCGTGGTTGCTGCTCATTTAAGGAAATTGTTAAGCCACGCCCAGAGGCGAATTTTGAGTGCCTAAATGTTGGATTTTTTCGCAGCCCCACTTGAGTTTCGAGCACATACTGCGGTGGCAGAACTGTCTGTTCCGTCACATTTGTCTCATTCGTTATAATCACATGTGTGTACTATTGTCCGTCTCCAGGTTCGTTACCTAGGCAACTCGCTGACAGTGTAGACATACTGACAAAAGCCGCACCATTATCGATTCACATGGCAAGTATACGACACTGCAGTTTGACGATCTGGTGAAAGTATAGCTCACACATGCCGATGCGCGCGCGAGTACTGGGTGTTCGCACGCACGCTTGCGATATATCGTGTGGGCGGTCTCATGGAATGCAGTGTAATGTGATTGATTCGGCTTCCAGGTGTGCAGTTGTGTCTATCATCGCCAGGGCGTCGGAAAGCATCGCATCGGCGGCGTCGTCGCCATCATAATCTGTGCGTGAATGTTAGCAGGTGCTCGACTCGGCGTCAGACTCCTCTGCCTTTCATTAGCCTCTATCAACCCTCTTTCCAATAAGGTGTCAGGTTTCGACTCTAATGGCTGTTAACTTGTAGGGTTAATTTCGGTTAAAGTGAGTGCTGGCATCCTGATGACGACAGCTTCAGATGCAGAAAGATACGGCAACCAGTTAACTGCAGTACTTTTACCTAGTCTTCAGAGGTGTTTTGGTAGATTTCGAATAAGTCACTTTGACCCAGATGGGACTACACTCGCGTCGTTCGGTGGGACTTCGTAGCTCACATGGTAAGAGCGTTGGCTGCACTAAAGCCTCCCCTTGCTGTCGTTGGTTCGAATCACACCGAGGCACCGAGTTTTTCACGGTCGGGTCAGGTTGAATAACCTGTTCTTCTCAAAAATGTCTACTTACATGCTACTTAGAACAACGGAATTTTCAACGTCGCCCTGGACCCATATAACGCGTCTGTATCTGTTAAATGCGCTTAATGGAGGTTCCATGAGCCCTCTGAATTATATGGCCTCCAAACAGGACATACAGCATGTGGGATAACTCAGGAAATCTCAACAGGAATGCCTAAATGTGCTTCCGTTTCGAAAAGATTAATTAAGTAGGGTTGTAAACCTAGTTAGCCTGCAACGTAACTTTATAATATTTCAGTCATCTCAGTAATGCCGGCTTTCGAAAGAACTTCCTTCCCGATGCATGCAAAAGCTACACTGTGTAAAAAATGACTACTTATGTAGCATGCATTTGTCTCATTGATTTTCGATGCCCCTAAAGATACAATTATCTTTCATGGAAAACATGCACAAAAATGTTCATTCTTTTGTGCATTCGGTAGGAACTTTAGATCTTCTTCCAATTTTATACTCGAATAAAGTGTATAATTCGGTTTTCAGAAACGCTTCCAATTCCCGAATAATTACGAATCTGCTCTACCGCGACACTTGGATTCAGGGTTACCAAACTACAAGCCGTATATTTTCCGCGTACGGAAGAGCGTACATTTCTCTACGGTACTAAAGGGGAGCCATATAGGGTTCATTAAATTAAGCATTGGGTTTGATCCATATTGTTAACTTTATAAGCCACATTGGTAAATGCAAAGACATGACGATTTATGAACGGCCATTTCACGGTATTCAAAAGTCCCACAATTAGAAACTTCTTTAAAACCGAATTTTCTCCCTCCTTCGCGTATAAACCTAGAAGAAGACGTAATTATCTACCGAATAAGCAAGAGAATGAATATTTTTGTACGTGCTTTCCAGGAAATATAATTGTATTTTTAAGGGCAACGAAAAACAATGAGAAAAATTCATGCTACTTAAGTAGTCATTTTTTACAGAGCGTAGTCTTTGCATGCAGCCGAAAGGAAGTTCTTTCGAAAACCGGCATCCTGAGATAACTGAATGATTATAGAATTATGTGTGAGGCCGACTAGTTTTACAACCCTACTTAATTAATCTTTTCGAAACCGAAACGCATTTAGGCATTTCTGCTGACATTTCATAAGTTGGCCCACTTAATGTGAGAGCAGTAACCTCTTACAATAGGGATGGCGCTGCGCTAACATCCAATAAATTAAGAATTGGGCTCGCGGTTAGGGTTAGGGCTAGGGTTAAGTTAAGGAATAGGTTTAAGGCCAGATATAAAGTTGCCGGTAAGTTAAGTCAGGATCAATTTCAGGGTTGATATAGGCGCTAGTGTTGACTGCAGAGCAAAGGTTTAGGTTAGGCTTAGGGTCAAGAGTAGGGCAACGGTTTATCTTTAAACTAGGGCTATTTTTGAGGTGAGGACACGAGAATATTTTACTCATCTTGGAATTGTGCGCAGGTCTACATGCATTATTTTGCGTGAGACCTTCCTATCCACATTGGCTGTTAAGGGGGCCCCCAAAACAGGGCATATGATTAATGTGCTGGGCGAACACGGGGGTCATATCGGATTCTGGCAGGCGTCATCGGAATGCGCATCATGATAAATGCCAACATCTTGGGGTGCGCCGGCAGACCCAGTTGCCGGCAGGCGTCACGCACACTAAGATCCCTGCCGCAACCCATTGTTGTTGCTGTTGGTCAAAACCCTGGTCAAGTGCTGTGTGCACCAGGGAATGTGGAGTGGAACGCCAAGGTGCGGGCTCGACCGTGCCATTCACCTGCGTCCTCAGCCCCTCCCTCTGGTTTTCTTGACTCTGTTTTGACACTGGGTCCAGGTGGGGGAGGAGGAGGAGGAGGGGGTGCGGTAGATGCTGTGCAAGTCTACTATCACTATAAATTTATTCACGCGCAAGTCACCGTGCTTGCTCCACCTGACTGTAATGCACACGGTGGACATCGTCGGCAACGACGGCCGAACCGCCATAATTCATTCCTACTGAAATGAACTTACGATAGATGACTGTCTAATGCGCTTACCTAATGCCAGTCCAACCGTCGCGAACGACGATGTCCTCTCGGTGCCCGAGAGAGCGGTAGGCGCGGCACCCGGTGACTTATGTGCAAATTATTTTGGAATGAGGCAACTTATAGTACATTCTCTCCCTCTCATCCACCTGACTTCGATCTGATATTGGCGCGGGCCCAATGACTTACACAGCTAAATTACCCGACTACTTGTGACACACACGACGTGGTCTCCGTAACACGTGCCAGTCCAGTCAGTAGTGAAAAAGGACCCATTCAGCACGACTCCCTTCCCTCCAGCCATTCATCTTACGCGCGCATGAGATTTCGACCGTCGAGTTCGACGATGTCCACCGGGTGCTCCGCAGCAAGGTGAGAGCAGGGACGATGGCTTGCGCGTGATTTTGTTTATGGTGAATGTAGACTTGCACAGCGTCTACCACACTCTCTCTCCCTCCCCCAACCTGGACCCGGTGTCAAGACAGAGTCAAGAAGACAGGAGACGCTGGAAGGGCGCAAGTGGATGGCGCAGTCGAGCCCGCACCTTGGTGTTCCTCTGGTGTCAGTAGGCCTTCTGTCTATGTATGTGTGTGTTGACCTCATTGACTGGAGGTCTGAGAGTCAGGCTGCAATGTCTCCTTCTTAATGTGGCCTTTATGGCACTCCCATCACAGTGTGGGATCCGAGCCAGGCGTTGGCGGCATGCCTAGTTGCGGCCTCGGTCGTGTCAACCTCCAATCTGTGTCTTGGCGGTCATAATCCTGGTCATTTGTTGTGTGGACCAGGGGTGCGGAATTGAGCGCCAAGGTGAGGATCCGTCCAAGCCATCCGCCTGCGGCCTCCCTCGTCTCCGGTTTTCTTGACTCTGTCTTGACACCGGGCTAAGGCGGGGAAGGAGGAGGAGAGAGTGTGGTAGATGCAGCGCAAGTCACCGTCCCTGCTCCCACCGCTGCTGCAGCTGTGGGGCATACGGTGGACATCGTCGGATGCGACGGTCGAACTATCGTGTGTGTGTGTGTGTGTTTGTTTGTTTGTTTATTTGTTCGGCTGCTGCTGTTACCAGTCCCAGTGTGTGCATGCGTTCGCGCTGATGTGAGCGCCTATGCTGTACTACCCTGTGTGTGAAGACACATACGCACACAGCGTTGATCACGAATACCGAATTATCTAGTCAGTTAAAGATCTTCCAAAGGAGGACTCTTTGTGCGTCGCGACGGATTTAGGCGCGCCAGACTACTCACTGCTGTGGATGCATTCCGACAAAGAGGACGAAGACTGGAGTGGTCATTTCTGGCTTGCTAACCGTCGCCAGCCACCCATACCCAACCCCATGTATCACTGGATTGCCCTAGCCTGTCAACCGCGCAACGACTGACGCGGCGTTAATGCCTACGTTTAGACGTGCCACAACACCTCCCGTCTCGCGCAGACTCCCCACAGGCTGATCAAAGCTTGCCGGGAGCTAATCTCACTCCCGTTTTGGCCCAGCACATTTGCAACGCAGCCCGTTGTGTGACCACCCCTATCTGCTGGCATGCAGAACTCATACAAAGAACAGAAGCTCCATATGTGCCTTACGGGTAGTTCTTCGTGACTGAACTAAAAATTTGCCTATTTTACCATTTCAGTTATTGTTCCTCGGAATTTCTACCTCTTGGATGAGCTCGAAAAGGGCCAAAAGAGCTCAGCCGACTCGACTATAAGCTGGGGCCTGGAAGACCCAGATGATGCTTCATTCACTTCATGGACTGGAATGATCGTTGGTCCGAAGGACACCAAATTCAACCAGAGAGTATACTTTCTTAGTATCAAGTGTGGCGAAAATTACCCGGATGTCCGGCCGGAGGTCAAGTAAGTTAACACGCCTGAACTCAACGGAGTACAGCTTTTGCGAATGGGTTTTCATGGGCCGATGACTTTGAGGCATGAGGTTTTTCTTTAGCTGCGCGTTTGTGAGTGCATTTCTTTGAAGGTAGTTTGACTTTCGATGACTGTGTCGCTTATTTTGTTTGAGCATTTGAGCTCCATTTTACTTCCTCGGCCGTTTTATTCTGGGACGAGTCTTACAAACACTACAGTGGTGAAGCCTTGGAGTCCGACTACATGCCTAACTCGAGTTGCACATTTCAACTGACTAAGCTTAAACTTTGGGGGGGGGATTATAACCTTGCGTTATTCCCTTTATTCTCTGTAGCCACCATGTGCTTGTGGGAAATGAAAGGCTTGATCCCTTTCTCTTTTTAGATTTTCCTCGAAAATCTCCATGAATTGCGTCCAACCAGATGGCAAGGTATGTCTATTGCGTTTCGGTACTTACCAACTCTCAATTCGAAGGAAATTTATAAATGACTGGTGTACTGTCTGCCATCCGCAACGCAACATTGTCCTGCTTCACCTCATCGCTAAGCCCCCCCCCCCCTCCTCCTCCGATTTCGTCTGACTTATCTGGCGCTCCTTGGCAGCCCAGCCGAGAGTTACGGGCACGTGGTCGGGATAGATGAGACTTTAACGAGCCCTTTGCCACACGGTGATTCGTGCTGAAAATAGGTGGATTTAAGACAGCAGCCAAAGTCTTGAGCAGACATCCTTACGAGCTAGCACGGACGAAGATAAACACCAGTAAAGGGAGAATTCTACTTTCCATACAATTGGTGGAAACCAGACTTTAAGCGATCTGGCAGCCGGGCATGAAGCGTGCGCGAGAATATATCACCATCAAGCTTATAGATGATTGGCCGACTTGAGCGGTTGTGGTTGGTCGGCTTGCTCATCTGTGATTGGCCAAAAACGACAACTGAATTATGCAGAGCCGATAGCAGCGGATAGGCGAGTTCCAGAATCCAGTTCACATAAACAGATGAGGTCGCTGGCAGGGGAATTTTATTGGATTAGTGTTTCGGAATCTCAAACTAACCCCTCATCTGGGACACCCGCAGGCAGGTACCAGGTACAAGGACGAAATGGTACAGCAGACGTCGTTGGTTGTGCCACTGCGAGATGGTCTTATGAAATCGGCCTGAACCAATGACGACAAAGGCATGTGTTTTTCTACAATACACATCTATACAGATGCCGTCCTCCAACAAATGCACTACGTTTAATGGGCAATCTTAGGAATAAACTCCACCCAATGAGATCGCTCTGTCTGGAGAGAGAGAGAGAGAGAGAGAGAGAGAGAGAGAGAGAGAGAGAGAGAGAGAGAGAGAGAGAGAGAGAGAGAGAAAGAGAGAGAGAGAGAGAGAGAGAATTGAAGTGGAAACGGAAGCCGTTTTTTGTTTATGGGAAAGATTTTTCAATCTGACGACGTCAACATTCCAACAGCGGCCGTCGGACTGGAGGGGACAGCTGGTCGCGAGGAAGAACACGGACATTTTCGTCCTTTTGAGTTTGATCATTTTAAAGAAAGTAACGTGACACCGCAAGAAAAGGTCATTTGTCAACATGGCGAACAGCAGTTCTCGGAAACTCAAAGTCTGACCTATATCTATTATATAAATATATATATATGTATATTTGAAGGGTTATTTTTGGTTCATCATCCACCACCAGCCAGCCACACCTAACTCCAGATTTGCAACCTTTTAGGCTCAAACCCGGATTCGATTGGCTAAAGAGTCCAGCGAACTAATTACTGAGCCACAGGTCCGTAATCCTTTCGGTTTCGATCGGACATAGTAAGTATGGTAGAGGATGCTCAACAATCACAGTACGGGACCTACTCGCCTCGTCGTTTATAAGGGCCGGATCTAGAGTCCCGTAGACAGTCGCACGGAGATTAATAATACACGCAGAAGGAGACTCCTTATAATTCGATCGTCTTGGCCAATGATGCTTATCGTGTGCTCCACAGCAAGACGAAGCAGGGACGGTGGCTTGGGCGTGAATTAATTTATTGTGATAGTAGACTTGCACAGCACCTACCGCACTCTCTCTTTCCCACTCTCCGCCTGGATCCGGTGTCAGAACAGAATCAAGAAGGCCGGAGACGGGGGAGGGCAGCGGTGACTGGCACGACCGACCCCGCACCCTGACGCTCCACTCCCCACCCCCTGGTCCATCCAGCAAATAACTAGGATTTTAACCAACAACAACGAAAATGGGGAACAGCGGTAGGGGTCCCAATTTGAGCGACGTCTGCCAGCAACTGGGGCTGCCATCTCACTCGAAATGTTGGACTTTTTTATAGTGCGCATTACGATAACGCTTGCCAGAATCTGATATGACCCCCGTGTTGGTCCAACGACCTACCACGTGGCCCACTTCGGGAGAACTACATGCGTACGTACAGACGGCTACATTTGTCCATGCTTCACTTAAACACACAACTTTTCGACCAGTGCAACACAGACCACTAGATACACCCGCCTTCGAATAGTGTAATACCCACTTGGGCATAAGACACATTAACTTCCTCCCACAAATCGTTAAGAGCGATTGATACCACATTCTCGCTCTTTCTCTCAAGCATGGCTTAACTCCCTGAGAACACGTCCTGGGTCACCATTGACCACGAAGGCTGGAAGCGATCCTGCTCAGACGTACCACCACTGCACGACTCTCCTCGTCGCCCACTTTTTCTTTACTATTTCTCGCCCACATAACATCAGCCTGATGTTCTTGCTTTACTGGTCAACCGGAGCAAGGCCTTCGGGCCTCTCTGTCTCGCGATATTCACATAGTCCTGTTAGGGCTTCCTGCCAGCTGCTTGTACGATCTGACTGATTCATGGCAGCCCAGTAAAAGCGCCTCTTCTGAGTTCTGATTCTGGAAGGCATCCCATTATTGGGCAGCGGTTGATGTTGTACTACTGCAAATCCATAAGCTCTTATATAAGTAGGTACCCAACGTCATTCATTCGGCTAAAACCTCAACTCGCAAGCACCAATTTATGACAAGAATTGACCCTTGCTGCTTGACTTAAGGCCTCCATACTTTATGATCTCATGCATCAAAGTTGTCATGTAGGTTGCTTTGTGTGCAAGTTTTGAATGTGACGGTCGCGTGTTGAATAACAGACAACTGTAGCGTATTCTCAATAATTACCTAATCCATTTACATGACGCAGGTGGACAGCTCCAAGGTTCCCGTCCTTCGAGATTGGAAACGCGGCATGTACATACGTGACGTGCTCACCGCATTGCAAAACCTCATGTCCGATCCCGCCAACGCAAAGTTGGAGCAACCGCCAGAGTAGAAAAATCTCCGTTTCCTCTATTTTCATAAACGTTTTTGTGCTCCTCACTTTTTATACTTCGCCTTAAGAGAGACATGACTGTTTTTAACTGTCTGACACTGATGGATTTTCCCAATGATAATTACCCAATGCATGCCGGTTCCCGGTCCTTTCTGTTTTAAATTGTGTTTTTTTCTAAAAAAAACGTTTACTCTAGACAGGATAGGTTTAAAAAACAAACATTGTGTGACTTTTAAAAAGGCCTACTCGCAGTTCATTCTGGCCGCATTCTGCAGGAACAACTCCAATTCCATTAATGTGGCGTACCATCTTATCCGCCTATCCTTGCACTTAGGCAACAAACTGCTTTTCTGTTTCGGTAGAATTCAGTAGGCTGAAACTTGTACCTATCAGAAACTAATTGGGAAGTTTACTGACAACTTCAGCGACTGGCTGATATCAGCCAGTGATGTCGCGCCATCCGGGGTTGTCCGCCTGAGGTTTTAACCTGGAATCGGTATGACAGGGGAATAATAACCCTTGCCCTCAATAAAGGTGGGATTGCGCTAAGTACGAGATAGCTTAGGACACTGTGTAACGAGCCCAGATGTCAATACGAAAGGCGGCCCAAGGAAAGTAAGGTTTTGGCAATTGCCATATACTCAACCGTCCTATGTCTAATAAGAGACTAAAGGGGGAACCTAATTACAAAGATAAACTGGGGCAAGGTGAGATTGTCCAGGAGAGGTTGGCGGAGGCACAGGGATCCGGCGAAGGCAACGACAGAGGTCCCATGTCCGAAGGTTGGCGGCCTACTATGGGGTTGTCGGAGGTTAATCCTCACCCGTATTTATAGCTTCTCCAGGGGCCAAGGGCGTTAAGGTTGAGGCCGCCATAGTTGATTGGTTGAGAGTAAGTCAAGGGGGGGGGAAGTTGAACAAAATTAAGCTATGGCTATTTTGATTAATTTAGAGCTATATTAAGTTATTATATGCATACTTTTTATAAGAAGCCAGATTGCGACTAAGTACCTGGCGTATAAGTATGGAAAAGTTTGACACGCGCGCCCCGAAAGGGCGATCAATATTGGCATGCGTTGATTGGGCCGTGGTAGGTCTGTGTCAGGCCGCATCGATCTGACGAAAAAAGTCATAAGTAGCGCTGTAGATAGGGTGCAAAGAAGGTTTATAAATGTGTGGGAAGGCAAGAAAGCTGACTAGGTACTCTCCAAGGTCCTGACGCTGCTGCAGGTCACGCGGGCATATACAAGGAGGGTTGTTGGTTTTTACTGGTTAATCCAAAAGCGAGCCGACCTTAACGTCCAGTATTTGGGTTGTTTTTAAAACAAGTGTTATTGCTCGGGAGCAAGGTAGGACAGGATGGGAGCCGGGCTAGATCGTAGCTGGTAGCCAGGACCCGTATTAGAGGTGGCGGGGGGGGGGGGTTGTTTACTGGGGCTACTTTGTGGGGCTCCATCATCACATCTGACCCATTTGGCTTCCGTTTTACGTTTGAAGTTAAGACTGGGGTACCGGTTAATGGTTCCCGAGTTTCGGGTTAGGTTTATGCCTTTGGGCCTAGGTTTTCGGGTTACGATTAGGGTTTGAGCGTACGATTAGATTTCAGTATTACGGTTAGGTTTTCCAGTTACGGCTATGTCTAAGAGCTAAGGTTACGCTTACGATTTCGGATAGGGTTAGGGTTAGGGTTGTCGTTAGGGTTAACTGTTAACGTTTAAGGTTGAGGTTAGGGTTAGGGTTAAGGTTAGGATTAAGCTTAAAGTCGCCGTCCGGTTCCCCAGTCCTGAATACTAACTGCGATCTAGCCGAGAGCCGGTTCGGGGGACAAGCACTTTATTAGTAACTTGCAAGACACGTCAGCATTCTCATCCATACGAAAAAAATGGAAGACAAATAAAACGACTTCAAAAGTAAAAACAAGGAGTTTGGCTTATCGGGTGACAATAAATGATACAAGGAGGGATGAGAATTACACTAGAGGGATGATCAGGCTGGATGGGAAGGTGGCGCTAACATGCCTGCCAAACGACCCGATGGGGGTCGGGGGGAAGAATGCAGTGCTGTGGGCGGCTGTAGGTGACGGCCGTGGAAAATTTCGACGTAGAGGGCGACCGGAACGATCGCTTCAACGG